AAAACCAAAGAACTTTAAAACTAATAAAAGCTGAGAAAAATTTAGTTGTAAAAATATGAAAATAAAAATACTGTATATTTTTATATTTAAAAACTTTTCTCACCTTTTTCATTGTTGTGGTGGATTCAAATCTGCAACAAATTCTTTGCCTAGCTTTTGGAAGGCATTTTTCACAATTCCAATGTTCGCTCAGATTTCCATGTCACATTTTTCCATCTTCTGTTAAAACGCTGACCATATATTTAAATTTTTGCATTGACCCTGATTTTGACATCATCAAATCGTAGTTTGCATCTTGAGATGCTTCTCTTGCCAACAGCCATAGATTTTGTCCTTTTGCAATTGTCCTTTTTTTTCATTTTTCTTTACATCTTTCTGTTGGAGTTCCTGCAATTTCATTTCTCTGTGTGGTCATGGAGACGAATGTGTATTTCTCATAAATGATAATGTATGTTAAATTATGCTGTCTTTTTTTTTATTTCAGTTGATCACTGTATGTCCGATCCATGTAAAAATGGTGCAACATGTATAAACCATAAGGAAGGTTATTTCTGTAAATGCAAACCAGAAAATAAAGGAAAGAACTGTGTCAAAAGTAAGTAAGAAAATCACTTTTTAAAATGTTTTCCTGTGATTTAGTTATAAATCTTACTAACACTTGGAATTCAAATTTAAATATGACAACACAAATTATTGAAGATTATAGGTATGCAAAAAATTCAGTTTTCCAGGTTTTTTATATTAAAAATCTGAATGTCAGAATTCCAAACAATAATAAAATAAAAATAAATAAAATATGGCTGTGTCTATTAAATAAATTATTTGTATTTACAAAAGTATTAAAAATAATTTTTAGTTGAGTTAAAGTCTTTGGATAGTTGGTGCACTAAGAAGGCTGTGGTTTAGACAAGACTTTTAAATATTTGGTTCATAGAACAAAGCTGTGGCTGAAAAAAGACTTTTATTGTTAGCAAAAATACATGGACCATCTTTGTTATTGGAGATGATTCATTTGAAGTCACTGACATATGTTTCTTTCATTATGCACTGGGGAGAAAAGATAAAACTATTTAGCCATGTTTTCACTTGTATTTGAATTGTCTGGAGACAACCACATCTCTCTCTTTGAAATCTGTGAGGTTTTATAAGAAATTTTTTCACAAATGTAGGCTCAAGAAAAATAAGCTTTTAGTTTTCTCTGATTGGTCAAATATTTCACAAATATTTAATTTCTAATCAATAGAGACTTTGATTTAAACAGTGTGTGTTGTATCATGGAATCCTTTTGGTAAATTTATGATGTCTGTTATTGGATAGAAAATAAAATTTGGCATGTTTTAATATGGTATATATGTTGGTATGTAATTGTGTTGGAAATAGGGTTTATTTCCTGTAGTTCTATAGCCAAGTGGTTAGAAAATAAAGAAAAGATCTGTATCAACCACAAGAAAAGAAAATTACTTTTTAATTGAATGATAACTACATTAAAAAACTTCTTTACAGATTATTATTTTTAATTCCTTATGATGTAAACCATTCAAAATCTAAGTTTATTTTAATGTTACAAACTTCCACTTTATTCACTTTATTAAGGATTATAATTTGTATTTGTTTTTATATAACAATACTAGCAGAAATACTTGTCCTTGCCTGGCTATCATAAAATTTTAAATGAATACAATCCCATTAGGTCACTATATTTTGTATTAAGTACACGATGTTGATTGGTTACTGAAAGGAAAGAAATGACAAACATGCTTGGTTCTCAGAGAGAGTATTATACTACTAAGACATACACAAAATTATATATACATATTAACATGTGTCTCATGTAGAGAAAATATAACACATATCTACACAACAAGCACAGTGAAAAGAGAATGAAAATATTGGTTCTTACATATAATATGGAGATTCTTCTGTGTTTCTCAAGAAGCCATTTTTAGGATTCCATAATCAAGCAAGCCAGATTTATCTGCTAGCAAGTTTTGGGTTTTTCCCAACATGAGGACTGCGAGTTTCTTTCTATATCTGGTGAAAATATATTCCCAAAGGAAAATGACAGCATTGGCTTGTAAGCTGCACCAAATGGCTGAAACAGATTTAGCTTCAGCCAGGGCTAAAGAGTTCATGTTAAGAAAAAAAAACTACATGTTTTAACTCCAGGAAGCTGACTGACTGACCACTTTTGCCAATGTATGAAGTGGTTGTTACATGAATTCAGTTCCACCAAAGGGAAATAATCACATTTTTATACCTACAATACCACTTTCTGTCATAAGGAGTTACTTTTGTACTGCTTGTTGTTGATATAATAGAAATGTAAGAATATGCTTTATGAAACTACAATATAAAAAGAATATGCATGCATATGTATATTAAAAAGTGCCATAAAGATTAAACAATGTTCATTCTATAATTCTTTCTATATTAGTATCATTCAAAAGTTCCTATGAAAAAATATGCTACCAAAGGAGAAAAAATGCATAGGCAATCTAATATGGCTTCTGGATCTGGCCACAGTTTTTAAATTAGGTGTTACTGAAGATTAGGTAATGACTGGTGTGTCCTCATTCAGGAATATAGTATCCAGAAAGGCTGACTTCAGAAAAAAGTAGTAAACTTAACTGCAGTAGCCTTAGAAAATTGATTAAGAAAAATACCAAAATTTTCTTTCAAATAGTTTTTATTTTCTTAAGTTCTTTCAATTTCATCTGGGACCATTTTCAGTGGGGTTAAGTTGTCTGTGAGTATATATATGTATTTCTGTAAATTCAAAACATTTCAGCTGTTTGTTTTTACTGCTTATGCAGTGTTTTAGATTTCAAAGTTCAAAGTTCATGTGTTTTTGTTTTTTTTCCTAGTATAAGGGAAGTCATTTTTTCCATTTTTGCTCATACATATATAAGTTCAAAGGCTACCAAGAAATTAATTCATGAACTTGAAAGGATCACAATGAAAACTAATCAACATGTTATGTCCTTATTATTATGCAAACTTGTTTGAATATATATATATATATATATATATATATATATATATATATATATATATATATATTGGGTTCTGGAAATTTCATGCTAATTTTAGTCATTCATGCTCCAACATGTTAGAACATGCCAAATTTATCAACAGATATATGCTTACATTTACAATTAGCGCATACCTCAAACTATAAATTAGATCCCAATTACAAGTGATGACCAAATCAAGACATTGATTGAGAATAACCTGCATTACACAATGCAGGAATTGGCAGAAACATTAAATTTATCAAAATGCTCCATCCTTAGTGAAGCTTGGGAACTCAAATTGCTACAATGTTTGGGTATCACATGTTCTGAGTGAAAAGAATCTGGGATTTGCTGTATAAACACAATAATAATGCACACTTTTTAAAGCAAATTGTGATGGGTGATGGGAAATGGATGGTTTACACCAATGTTCAGTGAAAAAGATCCTGTGGTAGGCAACATGAACCAACTTTATCCACCTCAAAAGCAGGTCTTTCTTTTGTCATTCAATTGCCTAGTATTATACATAAAATTAAATACACATGTATTATTTAATTTGATCCTCATTGAATACACAATAAATATGGCCTTGTGCAAAACAAGATAAGTTTAATTAATAACAATAATGGTGTAAATTATTTGGAGATTATATCAATTGTATTGTATGAAGAGTTTTAATTTGTATATTTTCTAGTAAACCCATGTGGATTGAAGCCATGTGAGCATGGCGGTAAATGTATTCCTGAGGGAATCCATTATCGATGTCAATGTACACCAGAATATGAAGGTCCTCGATGCATTAAACGTAAGTGTTTGTGCTGACATCTTTTGGTTTAAAAAAACAGTGTAAATAAAATTGATTTTTACATTATTGTTCTTTTAAGAAAAGTTATCTTGAATAAATTTAAATATATAATTAGACCTCACTTAAACACCAGGTTCCATTCCAGTGACCCGATTTCTAAATGAGCTGGTCACTAAGTGATAAGTTGGACCTGGCCACACTTTCAGGTATACTACACGTGTAATCGGTTTGTGTCAACCAGCTTCGGGTTGTTTCAATGTCACAATCTGGATACATGCATAAACTGTAAAACCTGGAAACATGCATACAACTGTAGAGACTGCAAATAAATTATTTAATGTATCTTGCACCTGTTGACACAATTGAACAAGTGTTGTAGGTCAGTTAACTGAATGAGCCAAATGTAGTCTCATCATGTCCAATACATATTTAATGTAGTACAAGTATGTGGATTATAGGAAAGCTGTTGGACATCTTTAAGAGCTTGTTGAGTAATAGGGGATTATTGTGGATGTAGATTATTCTGCTGGAACAGCATCCCAACTTGCTGTTGTAGGAATAGCATCAGAACAGTTTTAACAATGTTTTTATGTACATAGTGCTATTCAACCTTTCTTCCACAGACACCAAACATTCTCTGAGTGGAGAACTTGGAGCTTTAAAAATAATGTTTTTCTGTCCTGTCTGGTGCTGCTGCTACTGCTGCTGTTGTGATTAACAGCATTCATGATGGCTTCTGTTTTTTTTGTCTGCTGCTACTGCAGTTGAAGTCTTGTTGTAGGAATATTCTTTTGACCACTGTTGTTAAAGCATCACCAATTTATCTGGGTCACCATCTGCAGTGATTATCTAAAATGACCATCCAGTCTTTCAACAGCCGACAATCAGACCCCTCTCAAGTGATAGGAAGAGGGCAAAAGAATTTCATGTGAATCACTGAACTTCTGGCACTGAGCTTTCTCACAACATATATCACTAAAGCTTGGACACAGATGGTGCACTAGTATGAATGTTACTACATCACAAGATGACTAATGCCTTTGAAAATTTTATCAATATCTTCTACCCACAAGCAAGTTAAAATTGGCAGTTTTACTCAGAATGTTCTTATTTTATTTGCTGTCAGTGTATATGAAATAATTCTTTGAAACTGTTACAAAACAAATATTTTACTTTTGCAGGAAATCCATGTGGATTGAAGCCTTGCAAGAATGGTGCCAAATGTTTTGTTGATAAAGATACATTTAGATGTGTATGCACTGCTGGATTTATGGGAAGAACTTGTGTTGAACGTAAGTATAGTAATAATTAAACCTCATGTCTTATGTCTGGGCAGAATGAATTTTTTTGTTATTCTGAGGTCTGATTAGAGCAAATCAAAGTTCATAATATCTCATAAAGTAGCTGAGTCTAAATTATACCTTTTCTATTTGTATGTAAGTGAATATAACAAACCCAACTGGAATTGGAACTCAGCTCTCTCATTTCCATTTGCCACCTATTATATCACCTATACATCCAAGCTAAAAGCACCTTGTATTCCCAAGTGGTCCCCCATCAAAGTACTGATGAGGCTCGATGTGGTTTAACTTTGGTAATTAGACCGATAACTGACATTTCAACATGATATGGTTGTAGACCCTTGGCAAAATGTGGGGGCTTATTTTGGCTTAGAGTTATATTCTAGTCTAGCCCTTTTTATAACTGGAGGTATAAAGTAGCCTAACTTAATTTATATTGCAAGTATAAAATAAACTCACCTTGAATAACCCTAAGGATAGACTGGGCTGATACATTGGCCTTATATAAATTCATTTGCAACTGAAATCACAATATTATTCTATTATCCCATTGCTGTTCCTATTAAGGAGTCTGTTGGAATAAAGAAATGAACATTGTTAAATATTTTTTTTTGCAGCCAACCCCTGTGGACTTGACCCCTGCAAGAATGGAGCTAAATGCTTTAATGAAGGAGAAAGGTTCAGATGCGTGTGTACAGCTGGGTTCATGGGATTAACATGTGTTGAACGTAAGTAGAAAAGCAATAAAATTCTTGTAAATATTTATTTTTGTTACATTGGCAAATTTATTGACAAAACTAGAATAAAATCCAGAAAGTTTTTAATCTCATTAACTGATAAGTCATTTATAAGTTATAAGATAAGTCATTTTTAATCTCATTAACTGATAAGTCATTTAAAACAAATGTGCTCAACTCAGTTATTACAACATTTTGTACTCTGGCTTTCTTTAGTTTAATCTGCGTAAGCTTCAGGGAATTTTGAACTGGTTGTTTTATTTATTATTCTTTTCTGATTTTATGTATCAAGCCAAATATTCATCAAGTGACACCATAGCCATTGAGCATGTGAAGAGGTCTAACATGTCAAAGCCTTGAAGATATCAAAAGCCACAACCTGAGCCTCACTTTTCTCATTTAAAGCCTGATAAACAAATTCATTGATAACCATTAACATGTCAGCAGTAGACTGAGAGAAATGAAAGCCATATAGTTTGAAAGAAGTCCATGTGAAGTGAGATATTTAACCAAATCAGAGTTGATTAGAGATTCTAGTCAGTCAGTTATGTGCCATGCATGATACATACTTAGGTGATCATGTATCTTTTGATACATGACTGACGAGGCAGATGTTTTCCCGCAGTAGGTTGCCATTTCTTTTTGCATTAGACTAGTTGCCATCCAAGGCTATAGAACCTAGTCTTCCCTGCTATTTACTCATAGCTGGGTGAAGAAGAAGAGGATTCATACCTTTTCCAAGGGTATTAGCATGTAAGTGAATGTAATGGATTCAACTGGAATTTGAACTCAGCTCTTCGATTCCTCAATCCAAGTCACTATCCATTACTCCACCACTAGTACTTTGCCAAAAAGAGGTAAAATACTAATAGGGTGATAATTTGAAAGGTCAGAAGGTTCACCAGAGTTCTTAAAGATTGGAACTACAGTGAAGGATTTCAAACAAACTGCTCTCTGGCCTTCTTCAGTTGTCTGTCAATTTGTGTAAGTGTTATGGTAATTTACCCATGCATGCATAGACTCTCCCAGCTATAAATAGGAGCAGGTACTGCCTTTTGGAGAGGGAAGTTTCCAGCAGTCAGCTCTGACAGTCAAACCAAACATTCTTGATGTAACACTCTTGTTTGTATATGTTTGCATAACTGTTTCTATTAATTCCTATCTTGTGTCTTTATTTCTGGCCCTAACAAGGCCACAACAGTAAGCTTTTGGGGAATTTTGAACTGGATGCTTTACTTAGTATTCTTTACTGATTTTATGTATCAGCTCCCATTTTCTTTAGAATTTCTTCATTGATCACATCTTAATCTATAGTATTATCAGCATCCTTCTGTAGAGTCACAACTCTGTTGCTTCAGTTCAGTTGAGTTTCATTTCATCTGTAAAGAAATTAGTTTCTAATGAAATATTCCAATGTCTTAACACTTTGCTTAGTTTCTGGAAGGCATTTTTCACTTTTCTGATGTGTTGGGAACTCTGTGTCACATTTTCTGTCATTTGCTATTATTTTATTATTATAATTTTGAGAAAGGAAATGACTGGAAAGCATGGAGCTTGGAGAAAATTCCACAAGTAAGAAGTGCAAGAGAAGAAACTGTTAGCATAGAACTTACAGATTCCCCATTTTTTAATTTAAAACAGTGTGTATTATGTCTATTGAGCTGCATATTCAAGAAATTTGACTAAAACAATTGAACTTGTATCCTCCTTTGTAGGAGAAACCATTGTTTGATACAATGTGCTTTACCAGTTAACTATTTTCAAATACATGTAGTCATTATAATAATGTTTGAAGTAATAAAAATGTTGGATTAAAAATAAATCCATTAATTCTTAAGATATATATATATTTTTAACTGTTCTTAAAAAAAATATAGTAAAATAAAAATTAAAAAGGAGAATATTTCAAATCGTAGTTAAATAAAAAGTATTAGGAAAAAAAAAACAAAAAAAAAACAAAAATCTTTCATTTTAAAAAATGACGTTGAAATTTTTTTACCGTTAACAAATTTTTTTTTTTTTTTAAAAATCCAGACGACATCCATTCAACTGATGTCAGGTTTCATTGTAAAATACATCCCTACCCCTTACCAAATTGTAGCTAATAACTGATACAATGATACTGACATAAGGAAAATCTAGACATCCCTTGTTCAATTTAAGTAGAATATTCTGTAACCATGGAAACGTGATTTTAGCTGTGTCTTTAAAACCCGGTAATTTTTAAAAGTTACTCCAAAATTCGCTTGAAGATGAAATGGAACTAATGCTTTTAATTTAATTGCAAAATTAAATTCGGGGTTTTTAGCTTCTATTTTTGAAACATGGTTGGAACTGTGTAGCAAAAAAAAAACATATTTTAAATCAATTAATTTATAATATTAATGCTCTGTAAATTTACATTGAGCACTATTTTGTAATAATAAAAAAAAATAAAAATATCTATAAGAACACTGGATTTTATATCTTACTGTTCTTTCTTTTTATTTATATACATATATATATATATAGGTAAAAACCCGTTGGTAAATAATCCAAGTGAATCCTTATAATATAAAATATTAAAACTGATCTGCAAAGAGAGCTGAATACGTTTATTACAAATTCGTTTCAAATGTTTATAATCAGTATTATCCTCTTTTAAACCCAAGCTTTAAGTTGATTTAATATTATTCCTTGCAGCCAATCCTTGTGGACTGAAACCTTGCAAGAATGGAGCTGAGTGTCTAAATGATGGTAAAGAGTTTATCTGCAAATGTAAACCTGGATTTATGGGAAAAACTTGCATTGAAAGTGAGTCTGACTTTTATTATTTAAAGATCTTTTTACAATTAACATCTGAATGAAATTATTTGCATTATTTATATTATTTGGACTGTTATCCTCATCTTCATTGCTATATTCACAATGTTTCACCGTTGCATGCTCTGGCCTTCTTCAGATGTTTGGAATTTTGAATAGAACCCATTTTTCTTCCTCCAAGGTAGACTGTTCTAGTTCCAAATGCCATGCCTATTCCAGATGTCTCAGTTATTTCCCTCTAACTCAACTCTCTCTCTCTCTCTCTCTTGCTGGCCCAGTGGATAAAGATGTTGGTTAGAATCAGTGACTAGACCCAAAGTGTTCTGAGTTCAATACAAGGCCACAGCAGTGATGAGCCAAAATTTAGAGAGTTCAGTTAAAAGGTAATACTTGAGACATCCAGGAGAGGCATGGCACATGGAACTAGATCAATCTACACCAGTGGACGAAATAAAGGGTTCAGTTCAAAATTCCAAACACCTGAAAAAATGTTGTGAATATAGCAATGAGGATGAGGATAACAGTCTGAATAATGTAAATAATGCAAGTGATCATAATACCTCATCTCAGAGATATAGGGGCCGAAACGTGAATATGTTAATGAAGATGAGGATAACAGTTTGAATAATGTAGATAATGAAAGTGATCATAATACCTCATTTTAGAGATATAGAGGCTGAAACATTGTGAATATGGCAATGAAGATGAGGATAACAGTCTGAATAATGTAAATAATGCAAGTGATCATGATACCTCATTTCAGAGATATAGGCAAATACTGAATGAAATTGTTAGACCCAAAGTAAAATAACTTTTTATCTTCACTTTAGTTTTCTATTCATTATCATTTCCTTACATTCTCATAATTTCTTAGGCACTAATTTTTATAAATTATATTTTTCACATTTTTCAGATGGAACTGATGAGTTAAATTCAAGTTCTAGTTAAGACTGTTTTCTTTCCCTTTGTAGTTTTGCCATTGTGAAAGGCAAGAATACTTCTCCCCCCAAGATATGGGTTAAAGAGTAGAGAAAACTGAGCACTTTCATCTTGGTAGCCTAAACAGTGTATGAGAAGTACAAGTCTAGAACTACTAAGTTTTGAAATTACTTAGTGGAAAGATTCTCTCATTCATGATGCCATTCATCAGCATGGTAGTTACTGAGAAAGTAAGATTTTCAGTATTAGTCTATCCATATTTCTCAAAATCAACTTTCCAAGAATTGTTTTTGAGTAGCAAGTGTGACTCTCTTAGCAAATGGAAAAGACTTTTTTTTCGTAGTACAACACTGAATTCAATTTATTTTTTTAATGCTAACAAAACAGACACATTAAAATTGTACAGAAGAAAAAAAAACGCAACAGACATGGGGAACAAGAGCAACGGTAATAAAAGAAATCACCATAAAAAAAGTGAATCAAAACAATAACAAGTTTTTTTCTTTCTTTCTTTTTCACAATGATGTTCACTGCATACAAGGCCCAAGAGCCACTTAAGGTAGAGAGTTACAGAGTAAAATTCACCATCTTGAGCAAGGAGGCAATGCTACTAATTTGCAAGGTGCCACCAGAAGTGAAAGAGAAGTAAAAGGCTTTAGAAGGAACAGGAAACCCAATCTTAAACAGGAAACAAGGGATAAGCCTCTATCCCTATTCAAAAAAATTGGGGAGTATTGCTGATAATTGGCAAACCTATCTGCTCCTATAGAGGAAAGAAAAAATTTCAGAGTTTTATTCAGAGACATTAAAAGTACAGAGTTGAAGTAGACTTTAGAAGGAACTGGAAACCCAATCCTAAATAGGAAACAAGGGATAAACCTCTACTCCTGTTCAAAAAACTGGAATGGAGTATGAACTGGATGATAGGTGAACCAATCTATTCTGTTGAGGAAAGAGCATAGCAAGAGGAATCAGGTGCATGTTAGAGCAGTAGACTTGGTAGTATAACAGTCACACCCACTGGAGATGTGTACCTCAGTAACCTGGATTGAATCATCTGGAGATACAGCTGTAATGTACCCTTCATCATGGTATTGAGAGGCCCTACTAGTGATTACTTCACGGGCTAGAACCCATTCGCAAAATTGTAATAGAATAGCCCCAATATACATCTATTGATAGGATAACATCCTCTGAAGTTACTTAAAGGTTTGGATCTTTGGCTATCAGGCTAAAAGATATAAAATGTCTACCTTGAACACCCTTAATGAAGACACAAATAATGCAGAAAAGAATATACAGGCATGTTACTCTCAGTGCATGTGTAAGGTCTACCCTGAAATCAGGGCAAAAGAACTCCTCCTTGAGTCAGAAATATTGTACCAGACAGCGACATTATGTACTGAGATAAGCTCACTTTATGAGACAATATTATGTTTTCCTAGTTAATGTGAATATGTTTTGCTCCTGGCCTGTTCCCAGCATTCCCTTTTGTTATGACCCATGTCGAGATTCCTAACCTCCCCTAGTTTGTTTTTGTCACCTTTTTTCATCCCGACTGGCTCAGCCTTTGATTCCCCTCTTTCCGTCATTTATTTTTACCCTTCTCATTCCATTAGTAAATATGCGTCGTGATTTTGTCTATCGACAGAATACAGTGGCTACTATTATTATGTTGAGGGATGGACGGGTTCTACTAACATTGTTTTATTTTAGTTTTATCTTTGTGTTTCATTTTTAGTTTGTTTTCTGGTTTCATCCTCCCACCCTATCATTTAATAAATCATGAAATTTTCATATAAACAAACTTTATGAATAATGAAATGAAATTTTTACATCATGGGATTTTCTGTAGGTCACCTGCGAATATGCGGTATTATGGTATATGCAGGATTGAGTTGTAATGGACGAGTCCTTGTGGTGAATGGACAAATTGTAATGAATGAATGGGTTGTGATTCTGATTAACTAGGACTAGGATCGCTAATGAAGACCAGCCTCTCTACATCTCCCCTTCGGCCTTGTGCCACAATTTTGTATTTTTTATGAAATAAATAATCTTATATATGAGATCCTGCAATATTATCACATAACTGAAAATCACCCAGAATTTTACTCACCCAAATAAATAAGTGATTGTATATAACAATAATCAGTAGTAATTTCTTTATGAATATTGTTACAGCAAAAATTCATACTAAAAATATTGACATTCAGTAGTAAATCGACCAGATTTTTAATTCACCCAAATGAATACATAAATAAAGGAGAATACATAATATCATTCAGTAGTAATTTGGGTTCAGCATGCATAACCAACAAACAATATTATCATTCAGTTCCCATAATGATAATCACCAAAATAAATTTGTGATTAGGGGATTTAGGTAATAATATTTAATAGTTACTTCCTTTCAAATATAGGTTCATCACGCACACTTAAACAATATTAACATTATATAGGAAAATACCCAGATGTTTAAACCAAAATACAAATAAATAAATATATAAGGAATTGTCTGTAATAACATTTAATAGCCTTTTCTTTTTAAAATTAGCATGCAGACAATATTAACATTCATTGCCAAATGACCCAAATTTTTATTCAGCTAAATTTTTTATAACCCCAATAAATAAATAAAGGGATTGTACATAATATCATTTAATAGTTATTACCTTTTAAATATAATTTTAGCATGGAACCTCACCCAACAATATTAACATCCATTTGTAAATCACCCAGTTTTATTAACCATAATACATAAATAAGGGATAGTATGAAATAACATTTAATATTTATTTCTGTGTAAAAAATACATTCATCATCCATTAATGATTTCTTTTTTTGAAAACTGTAAAATGTGTCTTGAAAAGCATTACAATGAATTAATATCTTGATTTGCAGTCAATGCCTGTGGACTTCACCCATGCAAGAATGATGCAAAATGCTTCAATGATAAAGACACGTTTAGATGCATTTGTACAGCAGGATTTATGGGAAGAACCTGTGTCAAACGTAAGTGATGGATTTTCTAATTCCTCAATTTGAAATCTACATTTAACAAAGGAGAAAAACACAAAGACAAGTTCTTTTCTTTATAAGTTGACATTATTATTACTATAAGCCTTATTTTTAAATGGCTATATGTGTTTGAATTGATATCCCATTTATTTCAGTAAAATAAGATTTGCCCTATCATGGTTTCCCATGTCCTAATTAAAAGGACACATATTGGCTGAAGGAGATTGATTTGATTTTTATGGCTTATCAGTCTTTTGCAGCTATTTAAAGCCATAAAAAAGTTCTACTAATTAAACCCATATCTGGAGGGAAGGGATAGATTCATACCTTCCTGAATGGTATCTGCACATAAGTGAATATAATGAACCTGACTGGACCTAGAACTTTGCTCTTTGATATCCAATTTTGAGCTATTATCCATTACATTAATTGTAGAATTCAAGCTTACAGCTCCTGGTATTCCCAAGGAGTTACCCATCTAAGTACTGACCAGGCCCAATATTGCTTAACTTCAGTGATTGTATGGGAGGCATATTTTTCATTAATAAGAGTTTCATAATTTCTAGACCAGTTGACATTAATTTCACTCTTTAAATTACCAGATATATCAACTCAAACATGTATACCTTCTAAAAATAACATTTATAGTAAAAACATAAAAAAAAAACATGACCAAAAATTGTATGTATATTGCTGTTGTGGCTAGAAACATAAAGGTGTAGTTGTTAACAAGGCTGTGGGTTTTGTGTGTATTTTTTAGGTGATGGTGTGTGTTCAATATATTAACAAAGAAGATAGAAGAAGTATATTAAAAACTTGAGTTTCTGCTATAGACATTTATTTCTTTTATGTTAACTGTATTGAAATAAATTTAAATGTCACTTGAAGATGTCTGTTTTCCTTTTTGGTTCAGAAAATATTTATAGGAAGGAAGGATAATAATGGGTAAAGAAGGTCAAACTCAAGTCAGCCTCATGCTGAGTTGGGATGGCAGAATCTCTACTCTGTGAGCGGGGCTGCTGAAAACACATTTATTTATTGGTTTTATTTCAGATTTAAATAATTTAAATCTTTGTTTAATTTTAAATATTTCTTTTCTCTTTTTTGAGTTACTTAACTGACACCAGTAGTAGAATTTCTCAAGATTAAGTCAAATTTGACTACCGTGGATGTTATATAAGGTTGTGGGTTTGTGTGGAATTTTTTAGTTGAAGGTGTGTGTTCAATATGTAAACAAAGATGATAGAAGGAACATACAAAAAAACTTATGTTTCTACTATGGATGTTTATTCCTTTTATATTGACTGTATTGAAATAAAGTTAAAAAGTCTCTTCAGTATGTCTGTTTTCCATTTGGTTCTGAACTGATTTATGGAAACTAAGGATACAAATGGTTAAAGATGGTTGAATGCAAGTCAGCCTCATGTTGAGCTGGGATGGCCAAATCTCTACTTCATGAGTAGGGCTGCTGTAAACACATCTGAATAATCTAGTTGGAAAGTGGAAAGAGAAGGATTCTGTCCTTTCTGGAAGTGGGGTCATAAAATAGAACTAGTGACCAGAAACCGTTTGTTGTTTCTTTATAACTTGCCTCATGGGAAAATGAATTTATTTTTTTATTCTTCATTATTATTTTATTTATTTAATTTTCCCATACAGGGAAGACTAGGTACTCTCTAAAATTAAGACTAGAAAAACACTGAAAATACACTATAATGAATATGAAATCAAGTAAGCCTGATCATGTGTGGTGGGAAATGTAGTATTACCTGCTTCTGTTGAATCATTATAATAGTAAGAAGCAGAGTTTAATTCTGGGCTAGTCTGCTCCATCTAAACTTGGTTAGCAAACAGTTTAAGTGAAAAAAAAAACTTTGAATTACAAACCATAGAGAAAATAATAAGAAACTACTTGAGAAACTAAAAGCAAATGAGTCAGCAAAAAAACTAAGCACTGATGACCTCATCAGTAGAATTGAATTAAAAATTACAGAAAGTTGTGAGGTGACATCTTCAATTGACCAAGCCTGTAAAAGAAGTAATAGCTAGTAAGAAGAAATGCCTACCTATTAACTTTAAGAAATTATACAAGATGTACTTGTCAACTATGTTGTGGACCCAGAATAGGTCCAAAAGAAAACTCAAACTCAGCAATTTAGTGAAAACATATTATTAACAAAAAGAATGAATACAAAGGTGTTGCACGTCCGACTGACAGCAAAGTACAGTAGCCAACTCGTCAACTGTAGACAGCTGTCTTGAGAGGCATAATCTCCCCGTATATATAGTAATAGGATGAGTCCATTTAGTCCATAAAGGTAGGTCCCATAACAAACTATCTGGGTAATGTAATAACAAACAATAGAAAGTGTGACACAGAGATCCAAAGGCACATTTAACACTTTTAAAACACCTTCCAGAAACTAAAAGTATTAAGACAAAGGAAAAGATTAAAGGTAAGAGGCAAAGATTAAACCACCACATAACCAACCTAGGAATCTTGTATAAATGGATCAAAGAACAGAGTTTAGGAGAGATAACAAAAATACAAAATTTATTAACAGCTACAAAGGACAAGAAATTGTGGAGAGCCATGACTGCCAATATTCTGAAGGGACATAGCACATAGAAGAAGAAGAACAACAACAAAGAGAGATGAACTACTATATCATATCTTTCATCTTGCTGAACAATTTCGTCACAGATGAAGTGAGAGAGATGTGGTTCTGCAGATGCAACAGAAGACAGGAAGTTGTTTAGAGCCATTATCACCCATTCTGAAGATGTCTGACATATTCATGGTTAATATCTAACTGCAAAATGCAAAAGATTATTAGAGAAAGAACCAAACATCTGAAAAATATATTTCAGAAACAATTTGAATGTCATTTAAAATATACTCAAATGCAAATTAATGTACTTACAGCCAACCCATGTGGGCTTGAACCCTGCAAGAATGGTGCTAAATGCTTCAATGAAGGAGAAAAATTCAGATGTGTGTGCACTGCTGGGTTTGAAGGACTAACTTGTGTTCAACGTGAGTATTGTTTTTATTTTTAAACCAGTATGTAAAAGGAAGAAATTTTAAGAAAAGGGTAACTACAAAAAAATTGATAATGATCAAAAAGAAACAACTGAAAATTTTCATTTGATTAAGATACATTGTTTAATTTAATGACATGTCAACTCTTCTTGTGTTATTTGATGTTTATAAATCTTGTCAGTGAAAATTACAATGAACTAATAGCCTTGATCAACTCAAGAGTCAAAAACTTAGACATAGGTCCAGTCAAAAAGGTATGCAAACGTACAATCTACACTAGTCAAAAACGTGAATATAGTTTCCAGTTTACAGTAGAGTCATAAAGGTAGACATAGATAGATCCAGTCTACACTAGTGTCAAAAACATAAACATAGATCCAGTCTATACTAGTATCAGAAAGTTAGACATACGTTCAGTCTACACTAGAATAAAAAAGCTGGACATAGATATAGTTTACATTAGATAGAATGATAGACATAGTTTCAACAACACTAGTTTGAATGATAGACATAGGTTTGGTCTACTCAAGAGACAAAAAGTGAAACATAGGTCCAGTCTCCAAGAGAATGAAAAAGGTGGACACAAGTAGGACACAAACATAAAGTCTATACTAGAGTCAAAAAGGGAGATATAGGTCCAATCTCCAGTGGAATGAAAAAGGTGGACAGAAGTCCAGTCTAGAATAGTTAATTGGGGCACAAAGATACAGTGTATACTAGAGTCAAGAAGGGAGACATAGGTCCAGTCTCTAGTAGAATGAAAAATGTGGACACATGTCCAGTCTAGAATAGTCAATTGGGACACAAAGATACAGTCTATACTAGAGTCAAAAAGGGAGGCATTGGTGCAGTCTTCATTATATTCAAGAAGGTGGACATTGGCCTAGTTTATACTAGAATCAAAAAGAGTAAAAAAGCTAGACATAAGTCTCATTCATAACAAATTAAAAAAATGTGCATATAAACTGTGTCTAGAGATTATATGCAAGTTATGAATTGGTATAAAGAGTTGCGTCTTTAATGTTAAAAGTCCTATTATGATGTTGTTTAGATTCTACTCAATATTATTAGCTTAGATATATAGTGATAGAGAAAATTATTGTTTTTGGTTGGAAAAAATTTTACTAAGTTAACAAAACAGACTAATTTGACTGTCAGTAGTTTATTTGCAACTATTTATTTTGATACTTTTACATTATTATACCTTGTAAAACTAATGCAAAAAAAAAAAATAATATGAAAAGATTTTAGAACAAATTCGTCAATTTCTTAAAGGAAAAACATTAAAAAAAATTTTATTTTAAAAATAAAAGATATATTAACAAAAAATAATAAGAACCTCCTAAAATTTATTGCACAAATGCTCCTTTCTGTTCAATAACACTTAGCAGCCTATTGTCAACATCTGATGTTAGATTTGCAATTTTAGTGGCTGGTAAGTTGTTTGCAGCAACTTTAACTGCCTCCCAGAGGTCACACTTTCTGTTGAATTGCCTTCCATTAGAATAAATATCTCTCTTGAGGATGCTCCACTGGTTCTCAATGGAATGCAAGTCACAGCTATTTGAAGGCTAGTCCATAAGAGAATCTTCATTAAATCCCTTTTCTTTCAAGCAGGAGTTAGTAAACTTTGATGCATGACTTGGTGCATTGTATTGCATAAAGATCATAGATCTACACTTGGCTAAAGACTGGTTATCAAGCCATTCAAAGAAATATTGCTCTAGAAAATCACAGTAACTTTTGGAATTCATTTTAACCCCGTCTTTCAGTTTAAATGGACCCACGAGCTCATTACCAATAATCCCAGCCCATATTATGATCCCACCACTGTCTTGTTAGCGTCTGAAAATTTTCTTGAGATGTTGCTTGCAAACCCATCCTCAAGCCCATCCATCGGGCCTATCGAGGGTGATCCTTGATTCGTCTGTAAAAAGCACTTTACTGAAATCAGTTTTCATGTATTTTTTGCCCACTGCAATCTTCTTTCCTTATGTTTTTTTTGTCAAAATGGGTTTCTTTATTTGATTTCAGCAAACTTCCTTAATGCTTTACACCTTGTTTCCCTTGACATCATAGGAGCTTCAGTGGCCTCAAATATGAACGCACTTGACGCATTTGGGTTTCTTATTAATTCTCTTCGGATATGTGATAGATCCCGCTTTGTTAAATTCCTGAATTCAGCCTGAGACCTTTTCTTCCTTGGTTGAATTTCTATTTGACATATTTTCTTGATTGTTCGATGAACCCTTTTCAAATCCTTAGAAATTTGAAGTGAAGACTTTCCTTTGCTAATTTCTTTGATTATATAGTTCTTTTCATTCATTGTTAGTTCTTTTTTTACGAGCCATAATACTAAATTCTAGTTCTTGCAAATAATATCTTCATATGGCAAATTGCTATAATTACTGAAAAAATACTAAATATCAATCTGAAATTGAAAATTGGGACTTAATTGCTTTCATGCTTACTTGCTATACATAATA